CGAGCGAAGGCTCAGATAACGAATGGACTAGGGAAGGGGCAAGGCATGCCGTTAGTAATCGTTCAAAATGGACTGAACGAGACAGGGGAGGGGCAACGTCCTTGAGAGGAACTAAGGACATGGAGAAAGGTGTGGAGGGGCAACGTCCTTGAGAGGAACTAAGGACATGGAGACGTGAAGGTGTGGAGAGTTATACTGAAGGAAACCAGTGTGAAGGTGAGGCTGTGGTAGGTGATGGTAGGTGATGGAGGTGCATGGTTTGGGCACGTTATATATGTTCAGCAAGAGCTGATGACTATACGCCCAAGATATGTATTGGTCATACTACTGCCCTGATTGACACTCTCCTCGCCATTTGGATTTACAACCATAGACGAAGTCTGTTTTGACAGTGTTGGTTTGTGGATGTACCATATTCAGTAAACAGCACAGGAAAGGGTGGCCGTCACATGCTACATAGTTTTCAGCAGCTTCCGCAGTCTGACGACCATGTCAGTTTTCAGCAGCTTCCTCAGTCTGACGACCATGTATGCAAGTGATACGCAAGTGATGGATGGGAGTTATCGACACACCCTTCACCAAAATTACCATATTCATGAGAAAAAAGTGGTACAACTCGACTCGTACCATCAATCCCTGCACGCAGCTCTGCGAGACTGTTTAGTAGTCAAAACCCTGGCAATGGACATTGGACACTGAAAAAAGTTGAATAGAGAGAAGTCATAACACCCACTCTTAACCAGGTCCTGTTAAGTGTTGCAAGGGAGACGCATGCAAAGATGTATAGGCCAAAAGGCGACAAACTACAGAGGAATGGAAGAGAAAACAGAGAGTACAAGTGCATATTTAAACACGAAAAAAAGCCAGAGAGGGAGATAGAAGGAGATGAAACCATACCAAGCCACAGAGCAAATGTCAAAGCACAGAACAGTGCCATGCTGGCGAACACAGTATTTATACGACGACCTTTGTATCCGGCCCCTTCAAAACGAAGGGTGACACTGACACACACTGTTCTGTTGACACGGACTACTTAGGTCCACTATCTGCCCATCATGCATTCCACTGATAAATTAAATGTCTGTGCGTGCAATGCCATGTTCGCTGTGAGTCACACACCAATTATGCCGACAGAAAACCACTAAGAGTGCCAGACGGTCTTCATGTCGGAATCATGTGTAATGCTGTGTATGCATTTGCGACACGAAAAAAGCACAACCGTGTGTGTGTGTGTGTGCGTGTGTATGTGTGACACAACTGTTAAAACCCCAAATTCTCTCTCATTCCGTATATACTTAAAAAAAAACGCATGACTGCACCGGTATCCGTGCGTGTGCGTGTTCGTTTGTGCGTGCGTGTGTGCGTGTGTGTGTGTGTGTGAGAGAGAGAGAGATGTGTGTGTGTGTGTG